TGTATTTTTATACTTTCCAAATGTATTGGAGTTAACTATTTGCCCATAGCTGCGATCCTAACAGGCGCTTCTAACCAGGGTTAAGGTGGAGCTTGGAACAACAGTAATTAAAAGGTGGTTTCCCGCTCCTCAAAACCTCTCGAACAGAGAACTTGCTTATCGCCATACCCAGGACGCTACATAATTTAGCTCCAATTTGAAGGCAGGAATATGAAAACATTGTTTTTTTTTTGTGTGAGCGCCTTTAAATTTGTTCGTTTATATATATATATATATATATATATATATATATATATATATATATACAGTGTAACCCAGATATAAGAGAAACCCGGATATAAGAGAGATTTTCTCTGGTCCCAAATTAGAGACTGTGTTAAAATAGACCAAACCCGGATATAAGAGAGATTTTCTCTGGTCCCAAATTAGAGACTGTGTTAAAATAGACCAAACCCGGATATAAGAGACTTCTTCTCCGGTTCCGACAACTCTCGTATATCCGGGTTACTCTGTATAATATTTCTGATATCCCGCATGTGCAGGATCATCAAAATTTCCTCTCCTACAAAGATCACTCTAATATTCGTTACTTGACGATTCCATCGAGATCTTGAAAAATTCGGGTCGTTTCTCGGCCTTTGGCAGAGATTCGATCACGGCTACGACTAGTTTGGACTGGCTTCGGCCTGGACCAGCTAAGCCAAGCCATGACCAGCTTTGACTAAGCTCTGACCAGTTTTGGACCAGTGGCCCTTGAGTGGAAACACTCGGGTCTCCCACGTTAAAACGACCTTGTGTCACATCCTGACCCTGTGGGAGTCAAGTAAATATCCTTGACGATTCCATCGAGTATCTCTCCGAGATTTTCCAAGCGTAGCTTAGATGTGGCACAAGGCTGAAAGTATACAGCATCCAGTGAGGATCGAACTCACTTTTTAGCAGTAACTGATCGAGCAAGACACGCTTCCTAACCATTACACCAAGCCGAGGTGCCCAAACATTTACTCAATTATGTTAAGTAAATTAGTCAGTATTTACCCCCTCCTACCAGAGACTTCAATATTTATTAAGATATCACCTAAATAAATGCACTTCTCCTGATTAAACTAAAATAAGATTAAATTATTGCTTAATTACGCCATTTTTGATATTACCAAATATCTTATTAGTACGGAAGCTGCGAATAAATTTAGTTCATTGTGACGCGCGAAACATTTTTTCTTTCTTATCAGAATCTGTTTTACATATCTATACCTCTACCATTCGTCCATGCTTAGAATGTTGCTGTCACATATGGTCCGGTGCCCCTGATATTTGCCTTGAGCTCCTTGATAAAATCCAAAGAAGAATCTGCTATATCACTGGTCCTCATATGACGGCACGGCTGCAGTCACTTTCTCACCGTCGTAAAGTTGTCTCTCTGTGTTTTTTCTATAAATGCTTTCATGGTAATTGTTCAGATGAACTCTTCGCTATGGTATCTAGATTTGTTGAATTTAAGCGCAGTACTTGACTGGTGACGTGATCTCATATATTTAGAGTTGGTTTGGCTAGATATAGCCGTAAATTCTATGCTAAGAGTTTCTTCTCTCGAAATTCTTGATTCCGACTCCATGCTTTCCAGACAATGATAATCTGCAAAACAATAAAGGCAACGTCGGTCGATATCTTTTGTCCTCCTAATTATTCTTTCCTCCTCCCGGGCATTATTTATGTTTCTCTTCCTAATTCTTCCGCACACTGCAACCCCATATGTGTTATTGGCTTTATTGCCTTGCATGGGGTAATACCGATTATATAAAAAAAGATCTAAATGGCAGGTCAATTTCTAGATCATCTCTAAATTACGATCCGTTACTCAGAGATGTAACGAAGTGGTTTTCCGTTGCCTTTTCCATACTTAGGATTTAGAGCTGTATTTCTTGTACACTGGTTGCTACAAAACGCAAGAAACCCTAGTCTCCATTGTTATTTTAAGTATAGCTGGGCTGAGAAAAGAAGAAATCATGCCTTTTGTAAGGTCAATAGTTCGAAAGTGACTTTAATATTTTAGGCCGGCTTGTTGATCATCATTACGCTAACTAAACGTGCCATAATATATAGGGATATTATATTATAAAAGTTTCAATATTGATATCATTGTCATACCTAAGAAAGCTGTTCAAGCGCAAATATCAATTTGTTTAATAAGGTCTGTATTAGCCACATTTGCATGTTTTATGACACCTCAGTCCTTTTTGATTGATTTTTTTAATGTGATGGTGTTTAAGAACTTCTTGCCTTAATTATTTTCACGGTAGTAATTAGAATTACAAAGAAACTTGCATAAGCAATTTATTTCCGACACCAATCTTAACGAGCAAATAGAACTGACGTTCTTAATTAATCTAAACACCAGTGTTATAAAATCCAGTGTAATTTTCATTGAAGCCTTTAGTAGATAAGTATGTCAATTGCACCACAAGGATTATCCTATCATTAGACAGCATCGTAAAAATATCACTAAAATAGTCCAAAAATCACAAATAAAAAGCGTAGAGTTTATTGAAGTCATTTATATCCGGCTCAAACAACCGCACATCAATAAAAATAATTATTGTTCCCAACACCGGATAATTCAATGCATATAAAAGAAAACAAAAATGGCACACATGAGTGATACTAACTGCTGTAACACTTATCTGAGTAGACTCCCTGCATCCGGGTTTAAAATATATAAATAAAAAAAAATACTTATGGCGACTACTATTATTTTGCTTAGATGTCTTGTTGTCTCTTGAAGACTTCAGTTAAGAATTGGGGTCAACTCGTACTAAACAAGCAGAGGCAAAGTACACAAAACATACAAACCCCCCCCAAAAAAAAAAAATAATAATAATAATAATAATAATAATAATAATAATAATAATAATAATAATAGCAAGGATAATGATAATACGGTTATCGATGTCCGAGAAACTCAAAAGAAACATCTATTTGCAAAGCCGTCAGCCCTTGAATTCTTCACTTTGACTGTGTTTAAAGTCAATGTATTGATTATTGTATTTGTATTGTGCATTGTGTTCAAACGGCGCGGAGAGCAATGAAACCACTGGCATCCTCAACAAGCGATAAACGGTCGATAATTTATCAAAACTACAACCAGAAACTTGAACATAATGAAGAAAACTGCTCTATTTAGGAAAAAAAAATGCATATTATAGATTTTGCTTTCGTAGGAGACCCATTTATTTTTAGGTTGAGTGTTATTAATTTATTGTATGAATAATTGTTTCAGTTTTTTACGTTTTTATTTAAATAAAAGAAACAACTAATGATATGTTGGAATGCACATAAATGAAGTGACTCTGGAATCTTTAGTTTTGAAAATACAGAAAATAATGATTTATATGCTGACATTGAATCTATAAAAATCGAAATTAATGTTTAAAATATGTAGTTTTATTTATAATACATAGTAATTTATTTCATTCGATGCTGAGATGATCTGATGGATTTTGACTTATAGAAAATTATGATAGTAATATTTGATAAATATTTGCTAAAATATAAAATTGAAAATTATTATTACGAGAATAAGGATTGTTAAAAATATAAATGGAAACCATAATTATGAGAATAATATTTATTAAAAAATATTAATCCAAATCGTAATTACGAGAAGATTATTGCTTAAAAATATAAATGAAAATCATTATTATGAGAATAATATTTGATAAAAACATTTAAATGTAGATCATAATTACGAGAATAATATTTGTTAAAAATATTAGAATAATTATAATTACAAGAATAATATTTGTTAAAATATACGTCATAAGTACGAGAATGATATTTGTAAAAAATTAAACGAAATTCATAATTAAGAGAATAATATTTGTTAAAATATAAAAAGTAAAAATTATTATTACAAGAATAACATTTATTAAGACATTAATGCAAATTATAATTACGAGAATAATATTTGTTAAAAATATTAAAATAATTACGTGAATAATATTTGTTAAAAATATTGAAATAATTACGAGAATAATATTTGTTAAATATATCAAAATAATTACGAGAATAATATTTGTTAAATATATTAAAATAATTACGAGAACAATATTTGTTAAAAATATTAAAATAATTACGAGAATAATATTTGTTAAAAATATAAATGCAAACCATTATTATGAGAATAGTATTTCTTAAAAACCTAAATGAAGATTTAATTTGTGGAATCCTATTTGTTAAAATAACGATGAAGATAGCGATTATGAGAATACTGTATTTATAAAACATATACAAGTAAGACGAAATATATCGATATAATATCCATGAAAAGAACATTTTTGACAATGTAAGAATCATTTGAGTATTCTTTAGTATAACATAGTTATTATTTTAATCGACTTACCCACTTTGGCTCATCTGTCATTGGTGGACGTAATCTTAACAAATGAAGATACGCATTAATACTATGTTGATGGCTGGTACGAAAAGAAAACTGCACCACCTCCTAGAGGGTGTCAAATAAAGCGAATTTAAGGAGTAACAAGCAACTGCAAGAAAACAGAAAGCATGGTCATTGGCAAGATGCGAGTTACAATATGTGGTTATTAAAATTTATCTAGCAGAGCAGTTTAAATATTAGGGAAGATTTTTAAAAAAGGATTACAAATGCGACACCATAATCCGAACATGTATAGGACTACCTCAAAATACATCCCAAAACCTGAAATAATTTCTGAGAAACAGAAATATATTCGTTCGAAACAAAGAAAATAGTACTGGATCCTTATGCGATATTCGTCCTTGTACATGACATTGATTCTAATAAATCTCACCAGGGATGAGTAGAAAATTAGTGGTAAAAGAATTTTGGCTCTGCAGAAGGATACTGAGAATTACATATATGACGTGAATAATCAACAAGGAAGGCTTAATGAAAATGGGAAAAGAACAAGCACTAATTCTAAGATTCAGGAAAACACAACTGAAATTCATAGGATACATAATTAGGAAAGAGAGCTTTGAAATCTTATCTCTAAAAGAGGAGAGGTCGCTCGTTGCTTTCCCTTATCTCTCTTGCCTGAAGGCAAATGAAAAAGGTAAGGCAAATGAGCTCGGAGGAGACAAGAGAAGGGAAGGCAAAAGAGATAGGCGAAGGCAAAAGAGATAGCGGAACGTAAAACAGGTAGGAGTAGGCAAGACCGATATTGGGAAGCAAGAAAGATAGAGGACGGCAAAATCGATACGAGAAGGTAAGATCGATACTGGGAAGCAAGAGAGATCGAGGAAAGCAAAATAGATAAGAGAAGGCAAAATAGATAGTGGAAGGCAAAAGAGAGAGTTGAAAGTAAATAGATAGAAGTAGGCATGATCGATACTGGAAAGCAAGAGAGATAGTGGAAGGCAAAATAGATAGGAGTAGGTGAAAGGTATGGGTGAAGGCAAAATAGAGAGGAAAAGGCAAGATCGATGCTGGAAATTAAGAGAGACAGAGGATGACAAAATAGATAGGAGAAAGCAAAAGTGATAGGTGAAGGAAAATAGATAGAAGGCAAGATCGATACTGAGAAGCAAGAGAGACAGAGGAAGGCAAAATAGGTAGGGAAAGGCAAAAGAGATAGATTTAGGTAAAATAGATAAGAGTGGGCAAGATCGATACTAGAAAGCAACAGAGATAGAGGAAGGCAAAATAGATAGGGGAAGGTAAAAGTGATAGGTGAAGGAAAATCAGATAGAAGGCAAGATCGATACTAGGAAGCAAGAGATATAAAAGAAGGCAAAATAGATAGGAGAAGGCAAAATAGATAGGGAAAGGCAAAAGAGAAAAGGGTAGTTAAAATAAATAAGTGTGGGCACGATCGATACTGGAAAACAAGAGAGAAGATGGCAAAATAGATAGGAGAAGGCAAAAGAGACAGGGGTTGGCAAAAGAGATAGAAGATGTTAAAATAGATAGGGGAAGGCAAAAGAGATAGGATAGGGCAAAAGAGATTGTGGCAGGCTAGAGAGGAGAAGGCAAAATTAATGGCGGTGGGAAGGCAGCCAAACATCTACCTGATGACGGCGGAAACTTTAGCAAACGGAAAAAAAACTGCTAAGGGCTACAATGGATAGGTTATTTTGGAAAGCCATGGTTGCCTATGACTTGAATAGACGCGGCGCATAGAAGAAATCAGTCACTATATTGTTTAACTATACTTCCTAATAATCCTAAGTCTGGAACAGAAATTTATTGACTAACCTTGTTGATCAAGTTGGAATTGTGGACTTCATTGTCATTTCAACATCTGTACGAATTTAAGTACGGCAATTTTTTTTCTTTGAATCCCTTTGACGTGCTTGAAATTGTTATAGGCACATGAGTCCCTTTGATATTTCTCAATTTCCGAAGCTCTTAGGCAAATTTTACAACCTTCAAACTTTACAAGTACTTAAAGGACCTATACGCAAAGAGTTACTCAATTAAATCCTTATCTTTTTATGGCTTTATTCTTATTTATGCTTTACCAAAAAATTTTCCTTTGAATTGATAATTAAAAAGGCTTCCTCCTTTTTAGATTGAAATCAAGTAACATTCATGGTTTGTCTTTGAACTGTTTTTGTGTTGATTGATTCGTCGTAATCGATTATATTAAATCTTAAAATTGTGCTTTCTCAACGGAAATTGAAGTCACTCATGTAAAATTGATTTGCAATTTTTCTTGGTCTGTTTGATGTCGAAGTGACTAGGCGCATTTATAGGAAGCTTTTATTCGCAGAACAGTGATTGACACGAGAATAAAAAAAGACATACGAATGACGTAAGAATAGTACAAAATAAAATCAGTAAATGCGATTTGTTTTTCTCATAAGAACATCTCTCATGCTCTTATCTAGTGAAAATATTCGTCCATTCTCACGTATATATTAAGCCATTGCATACGATATGTACTTTTAGTTTGTCGACTCTAGCGTTATTTCTTAATAAACCCTTTCCTGCCGGGTTTCTTGGTGGATGTCACCATAGAAATGATATTCGTAACCTCCAGAAAATTATAACGATAAAACAATGTCTAATACTCATATTATAGTAGATCGAATCATATTATAGTATCTCAGATTAGACCACAATGTCATAGGAGTTTAACGAAACATGGACTTGGCATTTAGCTTTAATACTGATAATGTCAGAAAACTATAGGGATGGTTTCAGAAACATCGTTCAGAAGACGAAAGGCTTGAAAATGTATCGAAAGAAGGAGATAATTCAGCCATAAAAGTGACCATTAAAAGTTATTTGTTATTTAAAACCTGCAAATAACAGCAAGTAGAGCTTTAAACGTAAAAAAAAATTAAACATAATAAATTAGGGTACAAAGAAGTTTCACTTCTACTCCATGATAATGAACGACCTCAAACTTCATGGTTGACTGTCCAAAAATTGTACAATCTTGATTTTTGAAGTATCAACGCTATTCACGAGATCTCTTTCCCGGGCTTATTTAAGAACATGGAGTTTACTACACGCAATAGAAATAATACTATAGCGAAGAAACTGTTGAAGCATTTCACCAGTTTATTAAAGCAAAATCGCAGGTTTAAAGCGATAAACAATTTAGAACTAAGTTTGAGGAATACTGGAACAAAATTAACTGGATTAAATAAAATACCTTCTGATATAATAAATATGTTTTTTTTTTTTATAATTGATTAATAAACGACATTTCATATACAGCAATATATTTTCTGAATATATAATTATTACACTAGACTTTGCAGGAGATTTTACACCCAGTTAGAATTACTGTAGTTTTTCTTGTATATTAATGATCATACTCGTAAAAATCTCAAGAACCACTCGAGATAGAGTGTTATAGGGTGAGAATCAAAGTTTATGGTGACATGTGGAAAGCTAAATTTAACCATAGATATGAACAGTTTAAGATTAAGTAATCGGTTCCCATTTGGGGAGTGAGTTCCAAAATACGGCATTTTGTGGGAAGAAGCTGCTCGAATGGAACTCACATCTCATCAATGGCATACGTAGTGAATGATGATGGTTCGCTATAATATGCATGGTAGGGTTGATCTAAATTGTGAAGGTTAAAACTGATGGAAAACATAGACGCAGTTCAATTGAACACTTTCTATGAAAATGGCGATAGAGCTGTGAGAATTTGTGACAATTCGTCTCGGACAAAGGGGATGTAGCGTAAAAAATAATTCGTCACCCAAAAGAACGCGGAGACGCTTTTGAACTCTATTGAGCCTGGAAATTCAAAACTGGGCTGCACCTGTTCATATACATACGGAAAAAGAAAACCTCACTTTTCAGGTACACTTGATGATATTGCTGAAATTTATATTACAAATCGGGTTCTAAGAACGTTTCTAGTATTAGGTACATCGTCTTATTAAACTTCACACTGGGGTTAATTTTAAGGTAAATAGTATCGATTACTGATCACTTGTGATCATCTAAAAGAACTCAGAGACATGGAAGGGATATGGCGGCAGTTCACCATTTACGGCCCGATCTGATTTGTTTATTCTGTTTTATGGAATATCAACCGCAATTGGTTATTTAATACCTACATTGTATTTAACGTAGGCTCGTATGAATAGAATATGAATTATTTATCCGAAATAATTTAATAGATCAGGTTTTATTAACGTATTTTGGTAAAGAAGGTTTTTGAAGAAAGTCAAATATATTGCTGGTAATATTTTTTTTTCAAAAATGTATTCCGGGTAATATTTTTGTTTTTTTAAATTGCTGGAAATATTTTATTAAATATATCGCTGCTGATATTTTTTAAAATGTATTACTGGTAATATTTCCTTTCAAAAATATATTCCTGGTAAGTTTTTTTTTATTTCAAAAATGTATTGTGGATATTTTCACTATAAATGTTTTTATAATTTCATAGTGCTTTGACACTAGTTTGTGGGCTAACTATTTGCCCATAGATGGGACCCTAACAAATGCCGCCACTCTCGGTCAGTATGTACCTGGGAACAACAGCAAATGACACGTTCCACGTTCCTCAAAAGCTCCCCATCAGAGACCTTGCTGTCGAGCGTTGTTTATCGTCATGCCCAGGACGGGTATCTGGGTCTTGTAAAAACAGATGATTGAAGGGCGCAGTTACTGAAACGTTACAGCTAACAGATCATTTTTTCAGAATCTCTAGACAAGGATCGTGCATACGAATTCCACTTGATGTTCTATACCAGATGTCTCACTTTACTGTTGAAAGATTTACGCCTTTTATCTGTCTTTCTCATGCAAAGACAAAAGCCAATCGGAATAACGGTTTTCTATGATAACGACTACTGCATAATGAACTGATCTAATCGAATAAACTGCCACCCCCATGAGTGGCGGCACTATAGCTGGTAACCACATATAAGTATCCGTTAGGACAGCGGACAGGATAGTCGAACTGGGATCTGTTATTCAGATTCTGGTTGCTGTCGAACTCACTGCATTTAGGTAGAGGAACCCGGACGAAGCTATGCTGAAGTGCAGAGTCTCGTCCGGGGAGGTAGATAGACCCGAACCGGTTTATGCGGGGTTACGGGGAATTTTTGCCCGAGCCTACGGGTTCGGATTACCCAACATTAAACTCGGCCTGTGTGCCACATCCTTCCTTGTTGGGAGACAGGTAAATACCGACGAGCTGGGATGTGCGAGACTAGCGTCCTTCTGATAGCAGCACGCACAACTGACTTTCTACGACCGTGAACATAACTATTACTTCCTTGCTTATTGTACTGGTCTCTACAATAAAACTGTTATTATGTATCCACCGTGTTTGTCCATTCTATATTACTATTACCACGGAATATAACATGGATATATTTTAAAATGCAGTAAAGCTACAACTCGATTAAAATGCAGCAGGTTGGCGAAAAGACTCGACATTACAGCTGTTTTCATTCCTAATATATGGTCAAACATAGGCAACCAGTTAAGATTGTAGTTGGAGCGATATATTAACGATCGACTACGGATGAAAAATTTATTTCAACTCCCACCGCTGTCGGAGTAACTCCAACAATAATTTGTTATTTTCCTTGCTGGAAAATATCAACTAAACTTAATGGGTTCTATTTTGACGGAAATAAAGTTTTATTTGATTTTTTTCTGACGGAAATTAAACATTCGTGATATTAAATTCTTTTACATTCTTTTATTGATTTCAACCGTTTTTTTTAATTCTCATTGTGTAGCGAAGAGATGTTTGATAGACCCTCGATTTCTTTTTTTTTCCTTTAATTTCTTGAGAGTCCGTTGAATATTTCATTGACCACAATTCTTTGCAAATGTTGTATGTCAGTGAAGCTGACAAAACGTCTCAAGATAGTTTAAATATAATAACATTTGTAACGAAGATTTTTGGCCCGAGTAAACTGACAACGAACAGACTCGGTGAATAATAAGAGTGAGGAATTATTTTCATATGAAATGAAATTGAATGAAACTGAAACAGTATTATTTTCTAATTATTTACGATTAATCAAGCTATTATACTAGACACGGCAAGTTCTCTTTCCTTCTCACTCATATGCACAAACACGCACATACATAAATAGACGCATAGATGCACACAACAATGTATGTATATATGTATGTATATATATATATAATATATATATATATATATATATATATATATATATATATGTGTGTGTGTGTGTGTGTGTGTGTTTTTGCATATATATATATATATATATATATATACATATATAGTCTACGTACATTCTGAAAGAGAATAGTGAGTTCTTTTTCTAAGTAAGCAGAATGGCTATAAGATGTATCGAAAGGAAAAATTGAAATATATATGTCTCTGTTAATTGTTGGCATCAACTAATTTAGTGTACTGAAATTGATTTTTGAATAGATTTATTTTAAAATATATTTCACGCTTTAATGAACATGAGTGACGGATTTAAAATATTTATCAGTGAGTTATTAATTATAAACTAGGCGCAAGTTTCAGTTAAATTTATCTATACTAATGAATATACTTTTAAATAATAATAATACTAATAATATATATATATA